CCAGTTATTGGGACTACAGAGACACTCCCATCTTCTATTGTCATCAGAGCCACCTGCTACAGTGATACCTACAGAGTCACATGCCGCACCAGTCCCAGAGCAGACCCAGATTGCTTTAGCTTCACTTCCAGTGATAGAGGGTCAGACAACTCAGAGCTCTGGATCAGAGGATGATGCTACACAGTTTCAGATCGCTCACCGCACCTCAGCACCTGACTCGTCTGCTCCTACCCCTCCGTCCGACCCTTAGGTTTTGGTGCTTGACAGCAAAGGGGGAGAGGGATCGAGTATGTTAGATCTAGGGGGAGCGTTATATCTAGGGGGAGTATATGATTTATTACTTTTGGTTCTTTATGTGTGATACATTATGCATTCACGTTTACTTTCATGCATTGAACTACATACGTGTGATTGTGATACTTATGTGACATGTGTGCTCGTGCTCTATTTTGATTTATATATATGTCATGTCACTTAGTTATGCTCATTTGTCTTGCTTCCACGTTTTACTCCGATTCAAATTAGCTTTATTTCTTGTACTCTTGCTTATTTCATATCTATTGAGTACACCATGTTGACTTGGGGAATTCCTTTGCTCTTATTGTCAAAAGCTTATATGAACCAAGCATTTTGAAAACCTCATCTCTTTTACATACTCGAGGTTGTATTATCATCAATCACCAAAAAGGGGAAGATTCAAAGCATCTAGGCCCCTAGTTGGGTTTCGGTGATTAATGACAATACAGGATTACTATGACTAACATGTGTTTTGCAGAGGCAATTTAAGTTAGGTCATGGTAATGACAATTGATTGGGCAATCATGGTTGTCTTGCCCCTACGATTTAAATTGTTTTGGTTTTCAAAGGATGGACGACAAGGTTAAAGATGGACTAGTTCTAAGTGTCGTTTGGTGTTGAAAAGACACTTAGACTAGTTTAGGACTTTATTTTTTTCCTTTAGCCGTATTATTAACGGGGGTATTGACTAGTAGCTTGACCTAGGTGAGTCTAGTGAGTTAGGTGTGGTGCACACTTGTCAAATCTAGCACTAGGTAGCTCTAGAGTAGCCCTAAGATCAATTGGAGCAAACTTTATTCATATATGATTTTGAGTTGGAAGTGAATGGAGGGTCAAATGACTGACCGAACGCTGGTCTGGTTGTGACCGGACGCTGAACGGTGAGTCCGGTCAGTTCATTTGATGAACTAGAGCCGTTTGGTTGAGGCCGAACGCTGAGTGAAAAGTGACCAAACGCTGGGTGCCAGAGTCCGGTCAACTCTAGAGAGGTTCCATAGAGGGAGTTTCCTAATCGGATGTGTTCGGTCAGTGCTGACCGGACGCTGGTCCGGATCCGGTAATTGATCGGACGCTAAACAACGAAGTGATCGGACTCTGGGTTCTAGCGTCCGATCAACATCAGTAATGTTCCAGAGAGCAATTTTTGTGACCGAACGCGTCCGATCAGTGCTGACCGGACGCAGGTCAGAGTCTGGTCAGAACTTAACGGCTGTTTCTAACACAGTGGTGGGGATAACTAACCGGAGCGCCTGGTCACCCTGACCGGAGAGTCCGGTTACCCCGTAAAGTGATGACTCTGTCTCCAAACATTATGTTTTGAATGAGGGGGTATAAATACTTACTCCACTCATCCATGGGAGGTCTCTTGCCCATTTGTTCAGCTGAGAAACACCCTTGAGAGTGCAAAGGAGAGCAAGAGCCTAGTGAGGTGATTGAGATTTAAGAATCCAAGATTAAGGCCTCATTAGTGCAAGAAGAGTAGCAACTCCTTTTGCGGTAGAGATAGCAACACACTAGCAAAACCGTATTTACACATTTAGATAGTTTATCTTTTTTGCATAGGTTTTGCTAAGGTTAGAAAAAGAGGCCATAGTTTGGAGTTAGAGTTTTAAGTTTCCTAATTCACTCCCCTCTTAGGCGTCATGGTCCCCTTTCAATTGGTATCAAAGAAGGTTGGCTCAATTTGGACCTTTGGCTTCACCGCCGTTGAGCCGACGCTATTTAGAGTGGTTAGGATGGAGACCTCTAGGCCTCCGCACTTTGATGGCACTAACTTCCCCTACTATAAAGCTAGAATGGCTTGTCACCTTGAGGCGGTAGATTTGGGTGTTTGGAGAGTCACTCGTGACGGGATGAAACCCATTAAGAATCCCTATAAACCCACAAAGAGTGAAGAAAAAGAAATTCATTTCAATGCTAGAGCTAAAAATTGCTTGTTTGAATCTTTTAGCATGGATGTGTTTAACCAAGTGTTCACTTTAAATACGGCACATGAAATTTGGTTAAAACTCCAAGAGCTCCATGACGGCACAACTAATGTCCGTGAACAAAAATATTGTCTAGCTAAACAAAATTATGATTCCTTTAAAATGAATGATGATGAGCTTGTTCGTGATATGTATTCTTGTTTGAATCTAATTATCAATGAACTCCATTCAATAGGACTAACAAAGCTAGATGATGCGGACATCGTGAGGAAGATCATCTCCATGCTACCATAAAAGAAATATGCAAGCATCAACACCATCCTTCACAACATGGAGGACTTGAGCACCATGACCCCGGCCATAGTCATTGGTAAGATAGTGGCATTTGAAATGTCATGCAAGATGGGTCAAGAAGAAGCTTCTTCATCAAACAAAGGCAAAGCTCTCGCATGTAGTGAGAAAAAAAAGATGAAGGGCAAGCAAGTTGAGACAAGCTCAAGCTCAAGCTCCTCAAGTGAAGATGATGATGATGTAGATTCAAGTGATGATGATCAATCTTACTCTTCCACCTCCAAACTTGATGAAGAATCAATCAAACTTATCAACAAGGTGGAGAAGATGATCCAAATGCTCAATGTTAAGGGTGTGCCCATCCAAATTCAAGATTTCATCTTCACCAATCAAATAAATGAGCAAAGAAAGAAAGAATGCTATTGATGCGGCGAGTTGGGGCACTTTGTGGAAGTTTGTCCAAACAAGCCCACACCCAAGATAAAGAAGAAGGCTTGCAAGGACAAAGCCCTCACATCAATAAGGCCATGGGATGATTCTTCATGTGAAGAAGAAGACCATCACAAGAGACGAGGGCACAAGCACTCATCATCAAGCACCTCACGTGTGTGCCTTATGGCACAAGGTAACAAAAAGCCTATCCCTAGTGATAATGACAATGATAGTGATAGTGATGAAGAGCTAGCTTCTCATCATGAAATTGTGCAAGAAAATCTTAACTTTGCTAAAGTTTGCACTAGTCAACAAAAGAAGCTTGAAAAATTAAAAGAAAAACTAGATAGCTCACAACAAGCTTATGCTACTTTGCTTGAACAATATGAAACTTTTGCCAATCTTAATATGGAGCTATCTACTAAAATTGAGCAACTTGAGGCTAGTACAACAACAAGTGCATGCACAATCAATGATGAGCAACTTGTAAATAAAAATGAAAAATTAAAGAAAAAGTTAGCTAGCTCACAAAATACTTATAAAAGTTTGCTTGCTGAAATGGAAACCATGTGCAAACATTGTGTTGAGCTAACTAATAAAGTTACTAATCTTGAAGCCGTCGGTACAACCCTCACCAAGGCACCTAAAAAGAAAAGTTCTATCTTTGACATGCCTAAAAAGGACGCTTCTACTTCTTGCAATGATTTATGTTTAGACTCACCCTTGTGCAACCAAGTTTGTATTGAGAAAGTTGTTGTAGATACATGCACACAAGATGTTACAATGGAGAATGAGCAACTCAAGCAAGAAGTGGCTCGCCTTAGCAAGGACTTGACTCAAGTAAAAGGCAAAATTGAGCAAACTCAACTTCATCAAGATAACACCATCAAAGGAGTGAAGAAGCTTGATGAAGGACAAACCGTGGTTTGCTACGTGTGCCACAAGGAAGGCCACAAGTCCTATGAGTGCAAGGTGAAGAATGGGGGAGAAGCAAAGAAGAAAGAGAAAAAACAAACAAGCAAGCTCTCTGAGACCTACACCAACAAGGTGGACAAAAAGGCTTCCACACCTTATCTCTTGAAGAAGAAGAAAAATGATAAGGTGGTGGCCATCAAGGTGAACAAGCAAGCCAACAATGGGGTCAAACGCTTTTGGGTGCCAAAAGAGATCATTTCAAACATGAAGAGCACCAAAAAGGTTTGGATCCCGAAAGGGAAGTGAGAAGTCCAATGGACTTCGAGGAATTTGGAGACTTGGCAAAGTGTGGGTGCATTTCATGGGGTGCATCACATTGGATCATGTCAATTGCCAAGTGGGTTTGTGAATACACTACTAAATTTTGACCCTGTTGCACCGGTCAATTTTTGATGTTATAGGTCTAAAATAGATGCAATAGTTCGGTTTCACATCAATTTCTCGTTTGATGCCAGCCGATGCAAGTGGTCTTGATGCAATAGCCTTTCGCATCAGTTACTTGTGGTGGATGCGAGAAGCAGCTATTGCATCGTCCATCCGTTGTCTCTTGCATCAAAATTGAGAGATGCAATAGCTTATTGCATCCAAATCATGTTGATGCAATACATCTATTGCAATGGCTATCGTTCGATGCAATAGACTATATTGCATCCATATTAGGTTCGATGCTATATAATCTATTGCATCACCATTTTGATTCGATGCAAGAGGTTCTATTGCATCATCATTTTGGTTCGATGCAATAGGAACTATTGCATCGACGTTATGTTCAATGCAATTCGAACTATTGCATCGACATGAGGTTAGATGCAATACAAACTATCACATCGACATGAGCTTGGATGCAATACAAACTATTGCATCGACATGAGATTTGAAGGGCAACCAATTATTGCATCAAATTCATTGCACAAAAATTCATAAAATTACAAAATTCAATGGCACAAAAAGGCAATCATATTAATAACTTGGATCATAAGCATTCAATAGTTTGTACAATGTAAGGAAGTCAAATGCCTTCCTATTTCCAAATAGGTAATTGCAAAGTTGAACTACATTACAAACCACTAACTTATGCTACAAATAGGCAATCATAAACAAAAATACATGTCTCTTAGCACAGATCAACATGACATCTTTCTCGTTGCACAATATTTGATTCATTTCAGCTTGCCAAGACTCCCTCAAGGTTGATCTTCCTGAAAAAGTCAAAATGACATGCGTTAGTAATATATATAGTTGATCACACAGTTGGAATCAAACATAGACAACACATGATAGACAACAATATTTTTGGGTTTAACAAATAAAATGGATACTGAAGCTGAACTATAAACACATAAGGCATGAACTCCTGATTGCTCATGTTAAGTGAACAAACATACATGTATAAGTGAACAAAGTTCATGTTAATAATCTGGACAACAACTTAAAATGACACCTGATTGCTCATACCTTTCCTCCTTTTCTTTCTGCATTGTAGCTTTTTATTTGCAGCAGTATTCCTCAGTGTTTGTGATGTAATAAATGTCACTGTCTCATTACTATCTTTATCATTTGGGAAAAGTGATCTGTTGGCGCTGCGAGTGAGGCGACTAGGTTGGATACTCTTCTGTTTGCTCAACAATACACTGTCTGGTACAATCTATAAAAACCAGAAGATTTGAAGGAGCAATCACCACTTAGCAATTCTAAGAATCTGTTCAACTGCAGGTGATAATTTTGAAGTATATTACCTGTTGCACATGTTCTGATCCTTGGATGGGAGTCGGAACAACAGCAGGTTCATTATGTGTGGGCAGGGCAGATTCTGTACCAGCCTTTATATTTTAAAAAAAGATTCACACATTATGTCAGATTAAATGTAGGTATCCATTACATCGCAGTTTGCATTTATAAAAAAATAATACCTGTGCTAAATCTGCACCTTCATTTCCACTAACCATATTTTTTGTAGGCTGAGGGGCTATTGTGGTTGGTGCAGCATTCTTGCATTGGAGTTATAAGGAGAAACATTAGCAATCAAGCTTTACTAAAATCAATGATGTTGGTAACAATTAAGAAGTAGTATTATTACCAAAGGCGGTGCTTGATTGTGTTGTTTGATTAGTGAAAAAAACTCTTGCCTTAGTTCTTCTCTAATTTTGCTACTTGTACTCTCCAATTGATGTTGCAGCTGTTGAATTTTTTCCTTGTCGCTCTCCCTCTCAGCGGCTTGAACGGTAAGCTTTTCTTTTAACTTCTCTACCTCAGCTTGCATCTCACTATTCTTCTGTTGGGCTGCTGCTGCTAATGCAGATGCACGAGCTTGCTCTTCAATTCGTTCATTCATAAGTTGGCTTCGGGTCGGATACTTTGCCAAGTATCCATGTCCAGGATCTTTCCTGCTCCTGCATCCAGTGGTTTCCTTGTAGGTTTCATGAAGAATGTGCCTTTCTTGTTCTTTCAAAATCACAGAAGCTTCCAACTCAATTCTCTCTGCAATTTTGGAGAAGGCGCTTTCCTAAATTTAAGAACACAATTAGTGTTTCAACTTTAGCAAGTAGCAACAGCAGTTCCAGTTCAAGTATAATAAGAATTAGGTAAAATAGATACTTTGGAAACCAAACTGTATCAGTTAGATTCATGTACTGATTACTTCCTAAAAAAATCCAAGTCCATGTTAATCATGCAAATATGATTCCTAGCAAAGCATTTGAGAGGTAAAAAGCAATGGACAGTTGAACTCTAGCATTTTAGAGATATGTATGACATTGGAGATAAATGAATAAAACATGTTATGAGAACATACATCACTGGACACTCGTTTACCGAGTAGCCCAGCTCTATTCAAATCAGTTTAAAGAACATAATTAACTACATAAAGCATCTAACATAAGCAACTTGCTTTCCAGCAAGTTCCTAGAAATCTGGGCATGCAACAGCTGTACAGAAAATAAATCATATCTGGAGATATACAAGTCCAAATTAGTTGCAAGAGGACATTCTGGAAAGCTTATAAAATTCTCGAGATTTCATCTTCATACACCAAAGCATGATTCAGAACTTAAGTACTTCGAAATAGTAGAATTATAGAAACTACTCTGCTGAAACAGAGAGCACCCCAAAACTGGGAGGTAACTTCAAACAGCTGTAACTTTCAAACCACTAGGCCAAATGACCTCAAATTTGAAAAGCAGCTAGATATGACAATTATCTTCGACTTTGGTATTCACAAGTTTCCCAGGAAACCAACTTATCAAGGTGAACTTCTCTAAGTCCCCAGATCTGTCCAGATGGGACCAACATCTCACTTAAAGAATTAACGATGTTCCAAACATACATGTGGACCATACCAACCATATCATGGCAACATACATAACTCATGGACACCAGAAAATATGATGGCCATCATAAAATAAAATTATTTGATGCTTTTCTAAATTTAAATAGATACAAGGATGCATAAAAGACCATATACAAGACTTGCATAGAAAAATCTACAAAAATTACAGCAGCTACCATATGCTATCAGGAGACCACAGAATAAGTTTGGAAGCATTTGGCTCATCCAAACTTGCTATGCCAAAAAGAACAGGTGGCACAGCTGAAAATAACATAAATAAGAAACTAAAGATAGGATTGCCAAACCCAACACAAGGACAAGGAGATGATGACCTTTTATCACCCAATCAGGGCATGTACAACCATCAATATAATAATTATGTTATATATAATTGCAACATCACTAAGTACTAATGAACAAAGTAGCACTTACATATATTTCCTTAGCAGCATCAGAAGACCATCGGCCCTCCTTGGTGCGTGTACTCCAAAATGTCAAACCATCTGGCTCTTCACCAGTCTCCAGGTTTCTCTAAGATGTGAAAATTGAACATTGTTACTGTTTAGGTAAAAAATAAAAGAAGAAGATTAGGTTCCATATCATTACCTGCTCATAACTAACTTGTGAAAAAGGTTTTGATCCTGTAAGATGTATTGTCTGTCGATGCTGCGAATTGCTAGAGTTTGTGGTGCTTATTCGCTAATATAAACACAGATATGTTAGTTGCACTTCAAAAATACAGACAATAAACACATATATGTCAGAGGCTTGGAACCTGGAATTTGTCACTTCCAAAATACAACACCAAGTAGTGCCACTCCACAATGTCCAAATCATCTGGCTTATGTCTCATTCTTTCATGATAACTGTTGTATGCCTTGTATGTGGCACTCAATTGAGCTCGCCATCCTTTGTAACGATACTTTGCAATCTTCCATATCCTAGCCTTCTCATGATCATTGTTCTCAATCTTCCATATCCTAGCCTTCTCATCCATCTATAGCATACAGGTCCACCAAGTGAAGCCTCTTCAGCTAGATGAACTGGCAAATGTACCATGATGTCAAAAAAAGTAGGTGGGAATATCATCTCAAGCCGACATAGAGTCTCCCTAATCGAAGCACTCATGTTAGCAAGCTCCTTTTCATCCAGCTCCTTTGAACAAAGCGAACTGAAGAACCTACTCAAGTCAATCAATGGGACAACAACTTCTTGAGGCAGAATGTTGCGTAGTACTAATGGTAAAAGTTTCTGGAATATAATATGATGATCGTGAGTTTTTAGACCAGACAGCTGACACTGATTTTCATCCACACATCTTCGGATATTGGACGCGTACCCATCAGGCAACTTAACTTCATGTAGAAATTTGCATAAAAGTTTCTTGTCATCTTTCTCTAATTTGTACAAAGCAGGTGGTAAGGTGAACTTACCATTCTCATGCTCTGGATGCTGATCCATCCTTATCCCGAGATGCTGCATGTCAAGCCGAGCTTCCTCGTTATCCTTACTTTTACCTTCTATGTCTAGCAAAGTGCCCAATATGCTCTCACATATATTTTTCTCGATATGCATCACATCCAAGTTGTGCCTAATAAGCAATTTTTTCCAGTATGGAAGCTGGAAGAAAATACTCTTCTTCCTCCAGTTGTGCCATCTCTTTTCTTCGTCACGCTGCTTCCTTTTTCTTGATTCAGGGCCGAATGTGACTTGGTCAAAACTATCATAGTGTTGCAACACCTGTTCTCCAGTCAGTGGTTGTGTAGCCTCCCTATATTCTGTCTTGTTGAAACTGACCTTGTTTTTGCGCCACTTGTGGTCCATAGGCAAAAAGCGACGATGCCCCATGTAGCAGTGCTTCTTCCCATGCTTCAACCATAAGTAGTCTGTTTCCGTATGGCAGTATGGACATGCAAACTTGCCTTTCGTACTCCATCCAGAAAGCATCGCATATGCTGGAAAGTCATTGATTGTCCACAGTAGAATTGCATGCAAATCAAAATCCTTCCTCTCCTTTGCATCCTAGGCTTTGACACCCTCTTCCCAGAGAACTTTGAGCTCATCAATTAGAGGCTGCAAGTACACACCAATGCTAACACCAGGCGATCTCGCTCCTGGGATCATCATCGATAACATCCAATACGACTGTTTCAAACACAACCATGGTGGAAGATTGTAAGGAATTAAAATCACAGGCCAACAACTGTATGACACATTCAACATACCAAACGGATTGAATCCATCAGATGCCAGACCAAGCCTGGCATTACGAGGATCCTCTGCAAACCATTCATAGGTTGCATCCACATGTTTCCATGCTTTGGAGTCCGCAGGATGTCGCATTTTTCCATCAATCACCAATTCTTCCTTATGCCAACGCATATATGATGCTCTAGTCTCTGACATATATATCCTTTGGAGCCGTGGAATCAGTGGGAAGTACCGTAGGATTTTACGTGGAACACGCTTTTTTGAGCAACAACTACTGCCAACATCCTATACCTCTTTAGACTGCTTCCACCTTGTCTCACCACATTTTGGGCAATTATCTAGGCCCTCATATTCTTTCCCTCTAAATAACACACAATCATTATAGCATGCATCTATCTTTTCATAATTTAGACCAAGATCTCTAACAACCTTTTTGATCTTCTCCATACTATCTGGGAGGCAGTGTTCTTTAGGAAGAATAAGTAAGAACAACCCAAGTACGTACTCCATGCAAGCATTACTACAACCAAACATGCACTTCATCTGAAACATTTTGACAATGAAAGACACCTGGGTAGCTTCCGTGCAGCCTGGAAACAACTCCTTCTTGGCCTCTTGTAGCAATTTAAAGAACTTCTTTGCCATCTCATTTGGCTGTTCCTCATCGATTTCTCCACGTATAGTATCCCTGATCAAAGAATGTAATAATTCTGTGGTACCAGCCCTATCATCAACATCATCATCATCATCAATAGCTGAACCTTCACATATACTTTCCTGCTCTTGGATGAAGCTTTCATCAAAACCTTTGTGAAGCAAATGATTCTGAACATCCGACCGTTTTCTAAATGACATGGAATGACATGCTGAACATGGACATGGTGTCGTTCCTCCTTTAGAGCTGCCTCCAAAGGTGCTATCAAGATAATCTGTTAATCCTTGTTGCCACTCTGCTGATGCCTTATCCAGCCGCATCCAACTTCTACCTTGGTGTGACATTGATTTGAACACCTGACAAACACACACAAAGATAAATAAGAACGTGCTACATATTGGAAACAAAGCAGTGGCAAATCTAGGATTTTAGGTCAGGGTATGCACCACAAAAAAATTCATACACAATTCGGTAAATCCATTTACCAATTCGGTAATAAGGTTTAAATTCATGAATTAAGTGGAAGCCATATCTACTAAATACAATTTAAATAATTTCAAAACTGAAATTATACTACCTATAGCCTCTCAGTTGTTTTGTCCCTATATGGCTTGATGAATTCAATTAAATTAATGGATCAACTATTAGCTTCAGTCGCTTGATGCTAGTATGGATTGAATTGCAAGGTAAAAAAAATACAAATACTGCAACAGAAGCCAATGAGACTGTACTACTGATTAGTGATTACTGAAACCACTTTCCGCAGCCACAGGAGTCACGAGTCAGGGATGGAGGGATTGTAGATCGATCTGCAGTGACCTTGTTAGCGCCTTGCGTCCGCACTTTGGGATCACGAGATTAGCTTACGGTTGGGAACTCCGATCCGAAACCACGCGCGGAACGGCCGCGTAGCGGCGCAGCAGCACGATGTCATGCGATGCCGCGGAGTCGTGATTCGCGAATAGGAAGGGTTGCCGCACAGACTGAACTAGAACTAGGGGCAGATTTGGGCCTAGGGCCACTAGGGCCACGTCCCTAGGCGTGGCCCAAAGAACCCTTTATAGTATATGTTGTTCTCTGGGCTGGCCCTAGGAGGTTGGGCCAAATATTGTAGCCTCACAGCCCAGCCCAGAGAGGAAAGCTGAGAGGCACGCGATTTGCGAGCTAGGAGGCACGAGCGTGGTGCCTGTCTGTCTCACTTATTAGGTAGCCACAAGGTGTTTTCATGTTAGTCAATTTTCTTTTAAAAAATACTGGTTGCATCAAACACAAATCCGTTGCAATAGTACTTCCTAATTGCTTCCATATTCTAATCCGGTGCAATACCACCTACATATTGCATAAAAAATTCAATACTAACGCAACCAAATGTGTCTGATGCAATATTTTCTACCTATTGCATCCCTTGTTCCAAATGATGCGATAGATCATACCTATTGCATCGACATGAATTACTATCGCATCCAACTCTTTTTCTATGTAATAACGACCACATATTGCATCAGATTCCAAAAATTGATGCAATAGCAGCCACCTATTGCATCAGATTTTTGTTTGATGCAAGGGGACGTGATGCAATAGGGTCAAAGGGTCAAAATTTTGTAGTGATACTATGGACCTAAATTCCCCTTCCCATGTTAGGTAACTAGATTTAATTTCTTACAATTCGTATCAAGATTCAAATTCATGCAATCTCAATTAGCATCTAGTTTCTCTTCATGCCTAGGTTTGCATTTGCATGCTTACATCTTTTGTCATGCATACACTAGGTAAATCATATGGTAGGCTTGCTCGGTTTCACTCTTAACCCTTGGAGAAAACCTACATGGTTTAAATTGTTTAGGAGCACGGCACATAGCTTGTTTTACAATCGTTCATCTAATATGTGCCAAAGTCCAAATTGTAGATAATTTCACCCGAATATCACCTTCAAAAATGATTCTCACATTCATATGATATCATCTTTTAAGTGGTATTTTTTATTCTAAAATCAATGTGCTTGTCTCCTACAAGTATTCCATACTTGTGTGCATAAATTTAGGGGGAGGTCACTCTACAAGTTGGATGCTTTGAGACTAACACCTTTTGAAGCTTATCATGTATGTAGTAGTCTCATTACAAGGAAAATGGAGTACCCAGAGTTAAGCATCACACTTCAAATATCCACCACCTATTACAAGTGGTATAAATCAAATTGGTTTCCACATGTTGTATTTCTAAATTGATACCATCATGTTGATTTTACTTTGGTATTTATATTATTTCTCCATGCATTAATTTTCCAATTATGCATAAACTACATTCTCCATCATATGTACGCATATATTTATGGGGAGCTTAGTCTTTGTAATGTGAGAGTCAAATTTTGTGACCTATTCCACTCCACATACAAAGGATCACAAATTTTGACCCTCCCTTGTGCTACTAACATCTTCCTTTTCGGTGTTTGATTCCAAAGGGGGAGAATTTGTAGGACCTAAAGCAAGCCCAAACATAATAATTTACAAGTGGTAATGGTCCGAGAAAGGGAGGATAGTGGATCATGGAGTTAGGGGGAGGCTTAAATCCATAATGCCACATGGGGACATTTGCAAGGGCAAGATAAGTTTTCAAAGATGTTTACATGTGGTATCTTTTAGCTTTATAATTGGTATCTTTTAGCATCATATAATCTTGCCCTTTGCATTGCATCCTAGCAAGTAAATAGTTTTTAAAATTCCAAAGTGTTTATTATTTGCTTGCTTTGGTCGTGTTGTCATCAATCACCAAAAAGGGGGGGATTGTAAGGAAAATAGTCCCTAGGCCCATTTACTTTGGATTTTGGTGTTTGATGACCAACACAACCAAACTGGACTAATGAATTTGCAAGTAATTGTTTTGTAGTTCAATAGGGTGCAAGACGTGACTTGGACGAATGCGACACGATGATCCGGTGATCAACACCTTAAGCAAGACCCTAGAAGCACAAGAGAAGACCCAAGATATCAAGCAAAGTCTAAGCATGAAGATAGGAACCAAGTCGGATGCAAGATCATGAAGAAACGAGCTTCACAGAGGTGACCGGACGCGACCCTTATAGGGACCGGATGCGATGATGGCACTATTCATCATCCCGGCAACACATTCAGCACTGACCGGATGCTGGCAGATAATCAACTGGACGTAGGAACTATAGCATCCGATCGAGTCCAGAGAGGTTCCAGAGCGGCGACAGCGCGATCGGACGCGTCCGATCAACAGTGACCGGACTAAGTAGTGCGTCCGATCAACGCGCGCGCTCTAACGGTCAGGACGACCGGACGCGTCCGATCACGACGACAACAACATCCGGTCAGTAGCAGAAAAGTGGGTTTCATCCCCAACGGCTACTTTCTCAGTGGGGCTTATAAATAGACCCCCAACTGGCCATTTGAGTAGAATAGAGCTGAGGAAACATACCAAGGCTGTTGATACACCATTTTAGTGATCTCCACTTGCATAGTACTTAGTGATTCTTTAGGTGATTAGCATAGGTGCTTTGCAAAGTGCTTAGGTTGATTAGACCTCCGTTTATGTGCTTGCTCTAGGTTTAGGCCTAGTGTTTAGTGAGGTTTGCATACCTCTTATCACTCGGTGCTTGCACGCACCATTGTTGTACATCAGAGGGGCTTGTAGTCTTGTGAGATCACACCAACTGCGTTTGTGGTGTGGCCGCCACGTGTACCGGAGGGAACAAGGCCTGCAGCGGTTCGGCCGGATACTTGATAGTGAAGACGGCGAGGAGCGGTCCGGGAGAGGCTTGCCGGAAGGCACACTGGAGACCCACTTGTGCGTGGGGAAGGCCCGGGGCTATCCATAGAGTTACCCGATCGGGAGTTTGGCCCTTGCGAGGGGCTCCAACGAGGACTAGGGGAAGCTTGCGCGCTTCTCGATAGCTCGGTAAAAATACCGGAGTCGTCGACAGGAGTTTGCATATCTCTGCCTTACTCTTTAGCTTTCACATTTACATTATTTGCATAACTCCTTTTGCGGTAGAGATAGCAACACACTAATAAAACCGTAGTTGCACATTTAGATAGTTTATCTTTTTGCATAGGTTTGGCTAAGGTTAGAAAAAGAAGCCATAGTTTGGAGTTAGAGTTTTAAGTTGCCTAATTCACCTCCCTCTTAGGCATCACGGTCCCCTTTCAGTGGGTCCAACCTGCCCCAGCCCACATCACCCCTCCATCCAAACACACGCTCTTGTCCCTTTTTTTGTCTTTGGTTTTAGCATGGCTTTCTCATTCGGTTATTTTTTACGTTGTGCCATGGCTTTCCGGAGTGCATCTGGCCACAAATCCAACGGCACGTAGCAAGGCCATGTTTGCACGCACACAATGCCGCTACTTTAGTTCCTTGCCCCTGCCGCCCTGGGCGCGCACTCGCTCTCTCTCTCCCCCCCTCTCTCCCCACCCTGCCGGCGAGGGACGGACCGGGCGATCCTGCTAGGGTGCCGTGCCTCTCTACGACTTCCAAGGTACGCGCATGACCCTCCTCATCCCTTTCCCTGTTCTTGTGTGACTTGAGGCACCTAAAACCCTAGATCAGCCGATTACATGCGTCCATCTGATTGTAACTTGGGGCTTTAGCGGATCGACTTGTTTCAACAAGATCCTCTTGATTGGGTGGGGTGGTACAATATTGGTGATCAAGTATACAAACGTTTGTCTACAAATAAGGTCAAAGAATCTATGTACAGTTTTAGATTAGTTCGATAGTGTTCCTTTTGAATTTTCAAGGGGGTTTATTTCAGTGCAGCATATTAAGAGCTAGCCTTGCCTTGTTTCTTACTATGTTATTACATGGTTCCCCTTCCCTTTTTCTATTACGAAATCTCCCTACATGTTTGCATGGCCTCTTTTAGGCAGACGAGGAAATGTTTAAAGTGAGAAAGTTGTTGTTCATTTGTGCGCTGCATATATGGCTTCTTGACTACTTCTATTGTAGTTTTGTATGTCCAGTAGTAGTAGAGAACATATAGTCCAGTGGACGGTAAAGCCTAGTTTTGACTACCTTAAGACCAGTGTACTATAATATGCACGAACAAATATGGGCTTAAGTGTGCTCTTTTCTTTCAGGTGTATGCAGTAATGCCCTTTCCTCCAAGATACCATTGATGTATGTTTTGGGGGAGCAAATTGACAGTTCAACTACAGCTGGACAAAATCTTCCAATACATCAGGTATAACAGTGTAGTGTGTATCAGGCATTTTCATGTCAGCCCTCAATGCTATAGTTTTACATTGAAGTGCGCCATGAAGGCACGAAAGTGTACAGGGTTTTTTGGATGAACATGATTTAGATCACAACTTTGCTGTTGTCAACG